GTTTTCGAAGGAACGCAGGGCTAAAATACCACCCTCCGTGGAAGCCAGCAGAAGTAAAACGAGAACCCCGAAAAGATGTCAAGTCCAGGGCACCCACGTTTTCCGGAGTTGGCCACATCGACATGTGCTCCATGTGATCGGTGCATTGCGATCATGAGCCTCAGTATCATAGGTTGTCGATGGTTATTCGTTGCCACACCATGCTCAAAACACACGCTGGCCCATTTATTCCACTCACATGAGTCCAGCCCGCACTTACTTAGACGGGAGCTGTAATTGTCACGTACTGAATGTATTTCGCGGGGTTGGCTGTATTAGCACAGGTGTCGTAACACGTGCAGTGCGCACGTGTGAAAGGCCGCTCATGCATCCACATCCGCTCAGGACGGCAATGGCTGCGGTCTACGCGTGCTGGCGATGCGATTCACACGCGTGCCGCGTTCCTTCAACTAGTTTCCCAAAGAGTGCTTGCACGTAAGGGTTCCTTCTTGGCTTCCTTAAAGCAAGTGGGTTGGCGTCCTTGATTTTCACCACGTTGGCGCTGGTGTCCGCTTGTGGGTGCCTCGCGGGCGCCCCGTGCGTTCGGTAACTAGGTTTCCCGGGGATTCGCCGCGTTGGCGACCGTACCCGCTCGTGGGCGCCTGATCAGCTCCCCGTGCGCTGGAAGAGTTTCCAGAGGATCTGCTGCGTTGGCGCCCGTGCCCGCTCGTGGGCGCCTCCTGGGCACCCCGTTCGCTGGGGATTCGCCTCATCGGTTCCCGTGCCCGCTCGTGGGCGCTTCGTGGGCGCCCCGTGCGCTTGGTGGGTTTCTCGAAGGTTCCCCCTTTGGGCGCCCGTGACGGCTCGTGGGCCTCCCGTGGGCGACCCGTGCGCTTATACCACACAGTGCACGTGCAGTTTACACCACATAGATTGCAACACATAGTTCACATCACATTGCTGGCACGACATAGTTCACACAACATAGCTTACATCACAAAGCTTATACTGTTAAGCGTTAGGCTGCATAATTCACACAGCATAGTTTATACAACATAGCTCCCGCCATCTAGCTCACACCGCATAGCTTGCACAGCATACCTTCTATCACATGCCGTACACAACACAGCGATCATATAGTTCACACCACACAGTTCACATCACAGAGCTTACACAGCATAGCTTGCACCACCTAGCTACCACCGCAAAGCGTGCACGCCACAGTGTACACCGCATAGTTTACACTTGATAGATGCGTGATATACAAATATATGTATCCCTGTGTACATACATGTGTGCATGCATACATACTTCCGTCCATATATGTTTATGTACACACACGTACAGCCATACAAACATACATGCATGCGTAATTGCATACATGTGTACGTACATAAGCATACATATTTGCATAGATCTATATGTGTGTGTGCAGTAGGCATGCATGCATAAGTACAGACATAGACACATACATGCATGCATACAAACATGCATACACAAACACAAACATATATACACACACAGCTACATATGCACATACATACATGCATGCATGCATGCATTCATGCATGCATGCATACACACAAACCCCCACAGTGCAAGAATTCACTGTATGGGGCCAACGCTGGCTCACATTCAATTGTCGCATATGTATATATTGTCTGAGACAGGCAGCCTCGAATGTCCCTTCTGCGGGTAAATCGCATCCTCTGCATACGAATGCGGTGCGTGCATCGTTTCGCATTGATACTCAACGCGTTCAACATGCGTGGGATCCACACTTGCCGCAAACTGTCCGTTGTATTGTCTCCTCCCGACGTTTTGTGGTGTGGGTGGCCCCCCTCAAAGTCGACCTTTGGCTTTGTCACCGAGCGCGCTATGATTGAGAGGTCGAGGCGATCCCCGGCGAAGGCCATCCAGGAGGGCCAACAATGGTTGAAAACATCAAAATCCATCCCTCCTCCACCTGCACTTTCTTTCACCATAGAAACACAAGGAAGCCTAGCTTGTCCGAAAGAGCGGGAACCGCTGAGTCAGCGGCGCGGGACAGAAAGAGAGAGAGAGAGAGATGGAAACAAATGGAAAGAGACAAAGAGAGAAAGAGCCGCATCCTCATCTTCCTGCTGCTGCCTCGCTCCAGAAAGCTCTTGAAGCGTCAGCAACGTGAACTGGTACATACATCCTTGTCCTCCTCGTCCTCCTCATCGTCCTACTCCTCGTCCTGCACCTTCTCCTCCTCCTCCTTATCATCATCAGCAGCAGCATCATCATTATCACCATCACCATCGGCATCAGCATCAGCAGAATCACCGTCATCATCACCGTCATCATCATCATCAGCAGCAGCATCATCATCATCACCATCACCATCATCATCATCATCAGCAGCAGCAGCATCATCATCATCTTCCTCTTCCTCTTCCTCTTCCTCCTCCTCCCTTTCCTCCTCCTCGCCACCGCTGGAGGTCGCACAGGGGTGGGGAAGCGGGAGGGGGGAGGGCGAGAGGGATGAGGAAGGCGGGTAGTGGACGGGGTGGCAGGTCAAAGTTGGGGGGAGGGCGAAGGGGAGGTGAAGGGAGGTGGGACAGGAAGGAGGGACGGGAGGGGTGGGAGAGGAGGAGCAGGGGAACGGAAGTAGCGAGATTTAATAACGAGGAGGAGAAGTTGAAGAAGAAGAAGAAACATAAAAACAACAACAGCAATCATGTAAAGTCAGTTCGCTCTCACCTGCTCGCGTGTCATTCAGCATGTAAATCCCATTCTCGATACCCGCAGTCCTCGTCTTCGATCGTACCCCATTTGCGGGTGTATCTTCTTTACCCTCCACGTGTAGTTGGCGCAGCCCCTGAAACAGAGAATTGAGGGAGGAGGGAAGAGACAAGGAGGAGGGAGCAGCATGGAGCACGAGAGAGACTAGCAGGAGGGGGTCAGGAGCAGGAACACAAGCGGCAGTACTAGACGGGCGGGTTGGGCGGGCGGACCCTAGCAGGCGGGTCGGGCGGGCGGGCCCATACCGCCAGGTCGAGCGGGCGGGTCGCTGCAGCGTCAGTCCCGCATGAATCGCGAGGAAGTCTCCAGCGATAGCGCGATTCCCAGGTAAACCGTGAAGAACTCCAGAGCGGGAGCGTGATTCTTGAGTGTCGAGGGCGCGGCTTTTGAATAAATGGCGACGAAGTCCCATGCGAGAGCGCTAGTCCTGCGTAAATGATGATGAAGTCCCGCACGAGAGCGCGATTCTTCAATAGATAGTCAAAACTGTCAGGCGGGAGACGCTGTTGTTGTGAGACAGGGGGCCAGGGGCCGAGTCTGAGGCCCACGACTTCCCCTTATAAGAAACAGGGTGCGAACCCTGGGAGGGGCACTTTAATTATAAAAAACACATGGTGCACCGGAGGGAGGGATCAACCGAAAGTATGTTTCAGCAATGAAAATCCCTAGATCATTTCAAGACGGTTCGCTCTTATCTGCTCGTGTGTCACTCAGCAGGTATATCCCAAACCCTCGATACTCGCCCTCTGTGGGGTGCATCTTACTTACCTGCCATGTGTAGTTGGCGCAGCCCCTTAAACAGAGAACTGAGGGAGGAGGGAAGAGACAAGGGGGAGGGAGCAGCATGGAGCACTAGGGAGACTACCAAGAGTGGACAAGGAGCAGTAAAACAAGCGGCTAAACAGGACGGGCGGGTTGGGCGGGCGGACCCTAACAGGCAGGTCGGGCGGGCGGGCCCAGACCGCCGGGTCGAGCGGGAGGGTCGCTGAAGCGTCGGGCAGGCGATGAAGTCTCCAGCGATGGCGCGATTCGGCAGTAAATCGCAATGACGCCCAAGCCGAAAGCGTAATTTCTGTGTGTCGGGGACGCGGCGATTCAATAAATTGCGGGGAAGTCCCACGCGAGAGCGCTACTGCTGCATCAAATGTAAGGAACTCCTGCGCGAGAGCGCGATTTTGAATCAATTGTGATGATGTATCAGGCGGGATCCGTTGATGTTGCTACTGTTGTAAACTAGGGGCCGGGGGCCGAGTCTGAGGCCCAAGACTTCCCCTTTATAAAAAAGAGGCGCGATTCCAGGGGGGCGCTTCAACTCAAAGAACAAAAGGTGCGATGAGGATTCAACGAAGCAACACACACACACACACACACACACACACACACACGTCAAAACAAATTGCCCTCGCGAAGGACCCAACCATATACAGTTGTGAGTACCGCGTTTGTGAGTATCGACTTCGGTGGGGCTACCTATGCGGCCACGGGACGTGTAAGAGGTGTGCCGAAATAGGCATGGGGGCGCATGCGGGCCCTGCCACTGAGACCTTCGGTGGAGCTCCCTATGGTGCCACGAAACGTGTGACGGATCCTGGGAAAGCATGTGGGCTGTGCCATTGGGGCCGTCGGTGGAGCTCCTTGTGAGGCCACGAAACGTTTGAGGGGTGCGCAAACTGGGTAAGAACCGCATGCGACCCCCCCCCCCCCCTCATGGGGGCTTCGCTGGAGCTCCCTGTGGGGCCACGAAACGTGTGATAAGTGTACCAAACTGGGTAAGTACCAAACTGGGTAAGAACCGCATGCGAAACACCCCTCCTGGGAGCTTCGGTGAAGCTCCATGTGGGCCCAGGAAACGTGTGAGGGGCGTGCCGACATGGGTAAGAAGCACAAGCGAAACCCCCCTCCTGGGGGCTTTGGTGGAGCTCCCTGTGGAGCCACGAAACGTGTGAGGAGTGTACCGAAATTGATACGAGCCACATGCGAAACCCCCCTCCTGGGGCCTTCGTTGGAGCTCCCTGTGGGGCCAAGAAATGTGTGAGGAGTATTCCGAAATGGGTCAGAACCACATGCGAACCCCCCTCCTGTGGGCTTCGGTGGAGCTCCCTTTTGTGCCCACGAAGCGTGTGAGGGGTGTGCCGACATGGGCGTGCGGGGGGGGGAGGGAGGCTGGAGGAGGAGCGGAAGCGCGGAGCGAGGTTTTGCCAAGACGAGGAGCCAACACCACAGGATGGATGGGAAAAAACTGGCCCGCGCAGGCTCCGCCCGCCGTGGCCCCCGAGTCCTCGCCGTGCCGCTCCCTGGCGAGCTCGCCGGCGGTGGGCCCAGGCCGCTTCTCTGCCGCGGCCACGCCGCGGGGTGCGCAGGAGGGGCGCTCTGCGTGAAGGGCGCTACGGCGGCTCCCAGATCTCGAGGATTACGAAGGTCCAGGGTTCGCAGATTTGACCTCGAGGATCGAGGATTCGCGGTTCGAGACTGGAGGTTCGAGGGTCGAGGGTCCAGGGTCGAGGTTCACGAGTCCCAGATTTGCGACGATGCGATGTTGTTCAATTTGGGCGTTTTTTTTCGATTTCCGCATTAGGGGTCCTTCATTGGGCCCCAGGGACATCAAAAACGGATCGGGGACGGGAAGCTGCTTCCAGGAACGGAGTCGGGAGTTTTGGGACCGCGCATTGAAATAAACACATCGTCGGATGTCTGGGTCTGGGGGTCCTCTCCAGGCTGACCGGAGAGAAGGAGGCACAGTTGGTGCGAGGGTCAAGGGCAGCCCTCTCTTTAGATAAGGTGCCCTTGTGGTCGGGAACGTTTGCTCAGCGTGTCTCGCCGCGGGTTCTGGCCCACCGCCACGCACGAGTCGACGCAGGGTACTGCTGGCACGAGTCGGCTGCACGTTTGAGCGGCCCATCGCCAGAGTGGCCTCTTGGTGCGGGCCCACTGGGGACCCCGACCGCCGAGTGCGGCGCGTCAGCAGCGGCCTTCGAACTTGGGTCTGACCCCCCCCGCGCCCGCCCGACGCCGCGCACGAAAGGTCTTGCTTGCCTATGGTCGCTCGCGTGCGGCCGACAGCGGCTCTAGGAGTCTTTCCTGGGCCATCTAGGGAGAAGGAGTACATTGAGGGAAGAGACACGCCGACAAAGACCAAGATGTCGCAGGACCTTGTCGACGCCAATCTTGTTCATGGCATGGTCAATGCCAGCCGTCGCCGATTCGCGGGGATGATCCACAGATTGACGCTGACCAAGATGGACGATGACCAAGGTCGACACCGACGTTTCCGCGTTCAGTCTTGGTCATGGTCACCGCACCCTTTCCCTCCAGTACTGCCGGCACGAGGGTCAAGAAACTTTAAGGGTAGCTCTTTGGGAGATGTTATATAGAATCGGGAGTATAGCTCGCGCGCCGTTGCCTTTGGCTCAAGGCACGCGCGCCCTATTTGCCCGGACACTGCGAGTGTTCGCTATGTGCTGGAAAGATCACTACATCGATATTATCCTATCTTATCCGTCCATTCCTCTTACTGAAAAACCTCAGTACGATACCGGACGCTATTTGCCATCCGCTTCCCATGGACTCGGGTGCTATTTGACTTACCATAGTCACTTCAGACTTGGTAGCGGAGCTGGCCGCACTCTCGTGTGGTCAGTTATTGTTCTTCTTATCCTCACGCTATCCGGCACGATCTTCGTGACCAACTACCACCCTGCGCCACCACTCCAACTACATTTACGAGGATCAATTCAAGAGCAAGAAGCAACACGAGAGGTACGACGTCTAGACAACAACACTGGTACCATATACGTTTCATCATTGCGCTACTACCAACCGCTCGGCAACGAGCCAAAAGCGCAGTACTTGAAGCAGAGGCGGGGAGACCCGCAAGAGAAAGCGCCTCGAAGACTTGATAAGGCGCTACCCCAGCGCGGCAACGCGCCTGATAACCACCCATATCTTCACAGCCTCGGGCTGGTTATCTTCGCCATCATATGGTTTGCGCTGGGGGCAACAATCGGACACATGCGCAGAGGAGATAACAGCACCGATGGGCAAACACATGGCCCATACTGGGACCCTCAAGGCAACGTACCTTTCCGCGAGTACGTTTATGAGGTCAACGCGTGGCTCAACGTCACAATTGGACGTATGACGCCACAGGCCCAAGCAGCAGCCATACAACGCGGCCTGGGCGGCCTAGCGAGGACACTCGCCATGAGGGTACCACCTGACATTATAAACTACGGTGCGGACATCGATGGTGTCCACACAGACCCAGTGACCTACATCATGTTCCTCCTAAGCATGAAGTTCGAACGCCTGGAAGATGAGCGCCAGCTCACTTCAGGCACACAGCTCATCGACTTTCATGTGCCTCACGGGGAACGAATCGATGTCACCCTCACTCGGTTCGAGATGGCCCGTCTTGAGGCACAGTCGGTGGGGCTCGACCTTCCCAACTTCCAACTGCTCACTACTATCCTATTCCGCGCCCTAGGCGTTGGCAACCAGCGAGCCATGCAATTCTTACAGCCACTCAACCACCAAATGCCCCGAACACAACAACAGTATGATGAGTTGCTGGAGAGGGTGCGTTCGATAGGCCATCTGTCAGAACGGTCTCCTGGTAACATAGGATCAGTGTTTGGAAGGGGAAGGGGATCTGGCAGTGGAAATTTATACACTACCTTAACCACTGAAGCTCAGCCTGGCAACGGGCCCTCAAGCATATGGGCCGACGATCCTGGAGAGTCTACTGCCCTACTAACAGGGGATCGACCACAACCAAGCTGGGCAACCAGCCCTCCTCCTAGAGAACCTCAACCGCACCGCTCTTTATGGGGTGAAGCAAACCCCCTAACCGACGGTGTATCCACCTACCTGGGAGACGACGATTTCGACTCCGGCACCGACACCGATACCATATCATCAGACGGTGTTGAACCTTTAGACTGGTCAGATATCATGCATATGGAAAGTGACAATCAGCGCGCCGAACACCTGTTCTGGTTGTTACAACAGGCAAAGCGGAGGTGGAGGAGGTTCACACGAAAACCAGTGCGTCGTGTTAGGAGGAGGATACGGAGGAGCTCCAAAGGAAAAGGTAAAGGCAAACGGGGTCGTCGTAGGTTGAATGGACGAGGCATCACGGCCTTCCTCCAGAGGCTCTCAGATGACCAGTATGATGAGATATTTTTCGGGGGAAAATGTCGTGGTAAAGGCCGTAGAGATAGATACCTCAGGCAAAGGCAAAGGTAGGCGGGGAAACCCGCGAGGTAGAGACGGCCAGATCCTAAAGTGCCATGAGCGTGACAGTACCGATCATCTGGTGAAAGATTGTCCAGCAAAGGGAAATGGAAAGGGCAGATCGACCGAAGTCCATTTCGGCTCAAGTGAACCAGTTATTGAATATCTGAGCCTCCAAGATTTTGAGGCCGTGGAACAGATATTTTACACTTGGGTCAGCTGCATGGACAATTTGGATGAGCTCGAGGCGTACGGCCACGGACTGTACGAGTACTACCTCGAGTACCTCCGCAGGTTCGTTGTCGGTAATTTCGAGCCCACGCCTGTGGAACATGGAACGCTGGGAAACCAGCCTTTATCCTTCTTTGACTGGATGTTCGGTAATCCAGGTAACATCATGGCCTATGAGAGCAGTGAAGAAGATGATACTGTTCAAGCCTCGCCTTCGGAGGTTAATCGCAACCTTCAACCTCAACCCGACCTTATGCCTGGAAACAGGCCTACCCCTGTATATCCTCCAAACTACGCTGATCTGATGGAGATGGAGTCTCAAGCGCTCGTGATGGGCGTGCCAGGGGACCCATTTATACCACCAGGCTCGCTTGCTCCAGGCGAGTACGGACCGCACACGCTACTGCAGACCCTCATGAAGATGCACGCTGTATTGGTCATAGCATATCCCGAGAGTCAAGAGAGTATCGAAGCTGGCCAAATGATGCTACAAGACACTGATGCCTGTGACGACTCGGAGTTAGTGCTGGCGGCCCTCACTCTTATTGATAGCGTGCACCCTGAGGACGTGCAGCGGCATGTGTGGCATTCCAGAAAGGTGGCGCCAGGCCCTTGAAAGGGCCATCTCCATGCGTGGTCAGTCTCTTCCTCCGCTAGGATGGGGTCCCCAGGCGGCGGGATTACGGCCCAACCATACGGCCATGCGGAATGTTGCCGGGCAGCCTGCGCTCGGTAACGAGCCTGAGCCGACTACCGCGCCGCCTACGCCGGGACAGCCAAGCGATGCTCAGACGCTGGCAACGCAGGGAAACCTGCCCGTCCCGGCTGGACCGATGACCGTCGTCATTGGCAATCCTATGTCAGAAGATGAAGAGGGCGATGGATGCGGGTTGTGCGAGGACGAGACCACCATCCTCATGATGGAGGTCAACGGTGAAGAGGAGGTGGATTTCAGTCCCGACATGCCCGATACACCACCACCGGCACAGGAGCCAATTGCGCCGGGCTCCAGTCAGCAGGGGGACCTGCCCGCTCAAGATGAGCCGCCTGCGGTCCCGCAGGAGCCCCCGCCGGCTCCCGCTCAGGCTGCGTCAGCGGCTTCATCTGATGAGCACGCCCGGAGGTCTCGCTCTCATCCACGCCTCAGGGAAGAACCTCATCCGCAAGCACGGCTTCCCCGCGAATGGAGGCAAGCAGGCCCAAAGGAGCATGCCGCTCGGCGGGGGGGTCAATTGCTAGCCTACGATGACCCTAGGCGTAGGAAGGGTGAACATTCTGCTTTCGGAAAAGGCAACCCAGCCTACAGAGATGCCCAAGGCAAGTCCATACGAGGTGGTTACCAGCTCGCGACTAATATTCGTCGTGCTGAGATAGAAGAAGTACGGACGCAGCTGCGAAATATCATTGCAGCACGCAAACTATTCAGACCCAACGCAGTTTGTGGACCGTGCTCAGAGCCATTTCAGGAGCATAGGCCTGGGTGCCCTGTGGGGCTGAATGAGAGTTTGAGCCCGAATAGAGGCCGCACTCCTGCCAGGGAGGGCCATCCACCGTTGATTCCGATGACTCAAGAAGAGATCGCAGAGATCAACCGTCGTCTCGGAATCACGGCTCATATGAGGCCTAAGGCCGAGGAGGTTCAGCCTCCGAGAGGACTGGTGCCTATGACCCAGGAAGAAAAAGACGCGCTCTTTCGCCTTCCTGGAATGCGAGGAAACTCGCCCGGCGTCTCCAGTCAGGCCCAACAGCCAGAAATGATGAATGACGATGAACAGAGGGCCCTGCGAGCTGCAGCAGATGAGGAACGCAGACGAATAGCAGAGGAACGCACCCGCGAGGCAACTCGCCAGATGCTGCTG